GCGCCGTGTAATGACGCGGCGCCCTGCTTCCTGATTGGCCGAGAAGCCAGCTTCATGCTCCCTCGTCACTTGGTGAAGAGGGAGCATGGAACTGGCTTCCCGGCCAATCAGGAAGCTGGGCGACATGTAATGACTCGCCGCCCCAGCTTCCTGTTTGGTCGCGAAGCTGGCCAATCAGGAAGCCAGGCTGCGAGTCACTACCCGTACCCCCTGGCTTCCTGATTAACCAGAAAGCTGGCTGCATGCTTTTTCATCACCTGGTGGCAAGGGAGCATGGAGCCAGCTTTCCGGCTAATCAGGAAGCCGGGCGGCGAGTTATTAAACGCCACCCGGCTTCCTTAATGGGACTTCTGATATTGATATATGGTATCGGTGAGTACCGAAAAAAAATATTGGTACTCGATGTCGAAAAACATCAGAGGTGGCCAAAAAGGCAAAAAAAGAACCCCCCCCCCAAAACCTCACCCTCCTAGGTACCCCCCTGAAACCTTGTCATACTAGGTACTGACTCTGAGTGACAATATGGGAAGTGCTGTGCTTTGCTGTTCTTTCTGTACAACCATCTCTTTTCCATCTCCTTTAAAGAAGTACAGGATTTTTTAAAAATAACCCTTGCAGAGGTTAAAAAAGAACCCTGGACAAAACCTTTGAGCAGGGATTACCTTTTCATTTTAGTCCAGGTGCATGAAAAAAAGCTGGAATCATCCGAATCGCTCCCTGTCTCTCCGGTCTCTGAAGCCTCCCTCCTCCGACGCTGTAGCATTGAAATGTTCCTCAGGGTCCTCACATCTATACATAGTGTAAAGAACATAATGATTTACAGGACCTTAGACCGCTGCAGCAGAGGGGGACAGAGGCTGGAAGGACCCATCTAAGAGCAAGCCGTATCCGCGGATCATGTGAATATAACTTTTTTTAGCACCTAGATAAAAACGAGCAGTTAAACCTTGCAGTGCTGGGGTAGCTGGGTTAAGTTTTGCCTGGAGTTTTTCTTTAAGTGCTCATTTCGTTTAGTGGTCGAAACAAGAAATACTCACTTGATTCTTGATCTTGTCTGGCTGCTAGATCGGTCCCCACAGCCTGTTCTCCTCCGGGCTCTGGCGGTCTAAGGACTCATGACATCATCACATCTGATGCAGTCCTTTAGACGTAAGGATGCTAAGGGCCATACCACAGCTGGAGTGGGTGTGGAGAGAGGTGAGCGGTCACTGCCAAAGGAGTATTTCTTCTTTATTTTCGCCCCTAGACCAAAATGAGGAGTTAACTCTTGCAGTTCGGAGTTAATTTTTACAAAATCCTGGAGTTGTTCTTTAACCCTTCTTTCTCTCTTAAGGTGCCCATACACTGCACGATTCTCGTATGAGCATCGCGGGAAATCCCGCGATCGTACGAGAATCGTGCAGTGTGAATGAAGACGTGCGACCGTACAGTAGAAACGGTCGCACGTCTTCATTCACACTGCACGATTCTCGTACGATTGCGGGATCTAAGGAGCATGCTAGAAAACCAGCCGAGAATCGTACGATTTTCTGCTGGTTTTTAGCATAATCGTAAGATCAATGCCGCACGGGCCGGTGTGCGCACGCGCACACTGCCCGTTCAGCATTACGGTCATCGGAAGCCCGCCCCTCACAGGGGCGGGCTTGCGATGATCACAAGTACGATCTGCCTGTCCAAGATGGGCAGATCGTACTTTTTTTTATTACTTTACAACCATCGCAAGACTGAGGTCTTGCGATGGTTGTAAAGTGTATGGCCACCTTTAAGTCATATTCATTATATTAACTAGTTAAGAATTCTGGACATACTGTATATTCTGCATTCTGCCCTGAAGTGGTTAAAACAAACTCATGGCTGCAAGCAATGGCAGCCCTAAGCTTGTTTCTTCTGTTCTGCTGTCTCAGGGATTTTCACATAAAAGTGATCTGGGTGGCTGATCACTTTCATTTGACCTTTCCACTGCCTCTCACACTGCTCTGTGGTTCCTGAGCTCCCCTGCTCCTTCTGGGAGCCCAGGACACAACATCAATTTCTCCATTCCCTCTCCAGAGTGTAAGCCCAGAAGGCATGGAGTTTGTTAGCCCCCTGTCATAGCAATGAAGTTAGGTGAAAAAAGTTATTTTCTTTTTAAATTTAAGGAAAAAATTGTAATGTAAATCTAAAATTTAAAAGCACTCCGGTCACCCTGCGTGCACACATATGAACATATTCTTAGATCATGCACATGTATGTAAACAATTGTGCAGCACACATTGGGTATCGCTGCACACATTGGAGTGAGAGAAATCATTCCAAGTCCCTCATTTATGGTTAACTCTAAATCGATGAGCTGTAAATGCATTTAAGGTGTTGCCTATTGATCATTTTGGGTACTGTAATCTAATCCCATTTTGCAGGTGCATGCAGTTTTCAGGCTTGCCATATTTGGTATCTATTAACAAATTTCTTGTTTTATTTTGTACACTATTGTGTGCACTAAAAGTCATTTTAGTTACATCGTTAGTCAGGTTGCAAAAAGACACAAGTCAATTGAGTTCAACCTATATAAAAAATAGTAAAACCTCCATTAAACAGAACCCTATGCACACAGTTACCCATAGTTGATCCAGAAGAAAGCAGAACAAAAAAACAAACCGTTAAAGCAGGAGTGGGCAACTCCAGCCTTCCAGCTGTGCTTTAACTACAAATCTCAACATGCCTCTGGGAGTCATGCCTGTACATGTCAGTCTTGCAATGGCTCATGGGACTTGTAGTTCCACAACAGCTGGAGCTGCCCACCCCTGCTATAAAGCATTGTTCAATTTGCTCCAACAGGGGAAAATATTATTACTGATCCCATAAGGCAGTCAGATATTCCCTGGATCAACAATCTCTGGTGTTTTTTTTAACCTATAAAATATTAATATCTAGTTATATTCTGGGCATTAAGCAATGTTTCCAGATTTTTTTTTAAAACAATTAACAAGTGTATTTTTTTGTTACTTAAAATATAAATTTAATAAACCACTGCGCAAATATCATGCAACCTAAAATATTGCATGTACCGTCTTGTTATTCTATAGAGCATCTGCATATAGAAAATATATACATCGGGCATTTAAGATATCCTCAAGCCCCCAAAAATGCAGATTTTAACATGTTAAAAAAAAGGGAAATTGTCTGGTAGCGAAGCATTTAAAAAAAGGCTACATTTTCTCTTATTGGTCCCAAACATGTTTTCTTATCTTCCCCAGTTTGTCTCCCTCTTTTCATTGGCTTCCCCCTTCCTCTTATTCCTTTTCTTTTTTTCTTTGATTAATGCTGGTTTGAAGTTTAATAGGAAATAATTGCAGCTAATTTTTTATGCAAATGCTGAACTTAGCTATTCTGCAGCAGCAGCTGCTCACTGGGGAAGAAGAGGAGTCGGTTCAGATGACAATAGGTGAATGTGTCATTCTGGAGGGGCTCCTTATCGATAGTGTCAAGTCTCTTATTGCTGGGAGGTTGGGATTACTTTGACGTAGCAGCCAGCTTCCCCCTTTATAAAGCTGAGCCGTGCTCACTCATCCCACACTCCGGAGCGTTGTGTGATTGCGGAGGCTGGGCTGAATGGAGCAGCAGATACTAAGCTTGCAGGGTGTCGGCTGGCTGCTTAATAACGAGCTGCTAACCCTACTCCTGCATGCGACCTGCACACTGTCCCCCTCTGATCAATAGAGCTCAGCATCACATGCCAGAGATCTGGGCTGGATAATGAGTTCAGCACCATGGACAGCGCTGGATTGATGCGAGCAGTGGATGGGTTGCTGTCCAGCATTGAATCGATCCCAAGTCTGGGAAGCTGAGATCATGTCTGTGCAGAGGATGGCCATGAATCTTGTACAAAGTTTGTGCCAGGCTGTGTACTGTGCCAGTACTGAATGGGTCAGATGAGCCTGGAGTTCTCTGCACCAGTGCTGGTAACTGATATGTTGTTTCTTGTCTGGGGCTGAATGGAGATTTTGATGAGCAAGGTCTTATTCCTGCTGTTTCTTCTGGGTAAGTTCTCATGTTACCAGAACTGAGGATGGAATGGAACATCACAGTCACAGCTAATGGGAGCACGGGGTCAGATACCCTTAGCAAGCATCGCATATCTGTGTTCAGCGTCCTCATCTTAACTCTACTGGCTATGCTGGTAATTGCCACCTTCCTGTGGAATGTATTAGTGCTGGTGACTATCCTGAGGGTGAGAACTTTCCACCGTGTTCCTCATAATCTAGTGGCATCCATGGCAATATCAGATGTGATGGTGGCTGCTTTGGTGATGCCTCTTAGTTTGGTACATGAGCTGAATGACCGGCGGTGGAGGCTGGGGCGGGTGCTCTGCCACATCTGGATCTCTTTTGATGTTCTGTGTTGCACAGCCAGCATCTGGAATGTGACAGCTATTGCCCTGGACAGGTACTGGTCCATCACCAGACACTTGGAATACACTTTGAAGACCAGAAAAAGGATATCTAACATTATGATCCTGCTGACTTGGCTGTTATCTGCTGTCATCTCCTTGTCTCCTCTGTTTGGATGGGGGGAGACATATTCAGAGGTGAAGGAGGAGTGTAAGGTTAGCCAGGAACCCTCTTACACAATCTTCTCCACCTTTGGAGCCTTTTACCTGCCACTGTGTGTGGTTCTGTTTGTGTACTGGAAAATCTACAAAGCTGCTAAATTCAGAATCGGGTCAAAGAAAACAAACACAATCACACCCATGCCAGAAGTGATTGAGGTTAGTGAAATATTTATTTTATTGATAATGGTAACCATGTGCTCAACTTTAGGTTCTGTGACATAATAAGTTTACAGTCATTATAATCAATGTGTGTATTCTTTAGAAAGTGTAAATGGTAGAGCCCCCAAAACTAATATTTCAGCAATGGATAGATTCTGACCTTAATATATCCCATATAGACTTGGGCAGCAAGATCTCTGTAGCTCTCTCCACCTGCCCTGGCCATTACCAAGGGTATCCACTTCAAAGATTTTTCATTTATTTTACATCACACAGAATGCAGCAGTAGTAGTGAGACTTAAACAGGGGTGTTGAATCTCCAGCTCACTTTCCTCTGGAGTACCTGTTATAAGAAGCCATTGAGTGACTCAGTCTACCACTATCTGGCATTGGGTAGACCTAAGTAATATTAGAAGCAAAAAATCTCCACCAAAAATGGAAAAACGGTACAAGCTTGGGATATATATAGCCCTGTATATAATACTGTTCTAGTGGTAAACTCATTTGTAATCAAAGTATTTATCTATATATAGTTGTCTGTTTCTCTAGATGACTCACAGAACTGTTCACACATTTCCAACATCTTACACTTTTAGAAATGAAATGCATAGGTATGCAGGGGGATCCGTGTCTGCTGTACTGCTAAAATGACTGTTTTTTTTTACATCATTGCAGTAACAGATTCTCTTGCTTGTCTTAGTACCTACCATAGCTTACTGTGTACATGCCAGTGATATAGGTACAGCAAATTAAACTATAACCTTGTTAATACCATACGTCTTTTTCATGTGGTTCAGCTCTAAGCCTAGAGTATAAGAGAACTATAGGTATTAATAAATGTTCTCTCTTATTCAATGGGCAAAGTGCAATAGCCTCAGTAGGTAATCAGCAATCATCTTTGATAGTGTTGGCTGCTCTATAGGAATGAATAGTGAATAATGACCAGTTCCCGCATGGATTGCTACACTTTAAATGTTCCCATTGCTCTTCACACTACCTTTTTAAATGTATGTATTTCTCAAGAGTGGTTTGAGGTAGGATAATCTGGAAGATGTGGTCCTTCTGGGTACCATGTGTTTTTACCAGATGATTGTAACAGATACCATTGCCTTCAACAGGTCAAAGAAGCATCCAACCAGCCTCAGATGGTCTTCACAGTCCGTCATGCCACTGTCACTTTCCAGACAGATGGGGACACATGGAGGGAGCAAAAGGAGAAGCGAGCAGCCCTCATGGTGGGCATCCTTATTGGGGTCTTTGTTCTCTGCTGGATTCCTTTCTTTATCACAGAACTTATTAACCCCCTGTGTTCCTGTGACATTCCTCCTATCTGGAAAAGTATTTTCTTATGGCTGGGTTACTCAAATTCTTTCTTCAATCCACTGATCTATACTGCGTTTAATAAAAATTATAACAATGCATTTAGAAACTTGTTCTCAAGACAACGGTGACAACCCTTTCTGAAGTCTAAATGGCCAAGCATGCATTAAAAACTATGTCTTCATCCAAGGACCCTTGCCTGGCAGTGATTCCATGGTAGGAACTGAAATGCTGTAACCTGAATCCAAGATCATTTCTATACAGTCTTTTGGGATTAAAACAAATCTGGCAAGGAAAACCAAACATTGCATTTGATTATTTAAGATCACTCTAGATTTTAATGAGCATGTAAACAAGAGTAGCACACATGTCACCTGGTCAGTACAGCTGATAAAATTGTAATTCTCATACAAAAATCCTTGATAAGCAATACCAAAGGTAATGATTAACTGCAATAAGGTCATTCTTAGTATGTTTAAGGACAGCTCAATGCGATTGTAAAAACCTCCACCCAGCATAATCATAATCTATATTAAGATCTTATTATTCCCTGCACACCAGATAAAATTGCAAATGATGTGAATGGTTCTTCTTGCTCTATAAACCTACTGCATACTATTTTAGGCTATATGAATATTGGAAATGAACATCTGAATGTGACAGACAACAAGGACACCTATGGTGGCAGACAAAATGGCAAAACAGGATTGATTGTTATGAAATCATGTTGCAATATACTGTAGCTGGTCAGCATCTGAAAAGAAAGTCTCTAATGTCAGGTAAAAGCAGATAGAGTATATGGAGGTTATTGGTTAAACCAACCGCAGGCAAAGCTATTTTAATGGTAGATAGTGCAATTGTTTTAGCTTGAAAATAAGCAATTTTTAGCTGAAGTTTTCATTGAACATTATCATGTTAGTGCATTTGTGATGTGCAAAATGCAATGGCCTGCTTCAGCCAAATGAACCTCGCCTCAGTTGCAGCACCTGATGTAACTATACAATATTGGGCTCCCCCGTTCCCTTGTAGATAGATCTGTCTAGGGCAATGAGTAAGTGGCACTCAAAGCATATCTCATATAAAAGCCAAGCTTTCCCTGTGAAGATACTGTCTTGGAGAGAGGGATAGGTTGCTCTGGAGAGCCTGTACAGAGAGGGAGAGAGAGAGAGAGATAGAGGGAGAGAGAGAGAGGGAGAGAGAGAGAGAGAGAGGGAGAGAGAGATATGAGTTTTTTGAGAGTATAAGACTGCTAAAGACATAGTATATGAGATTTCCCAGAAAAGTGTTACGGACTGCCCCAAGAGAGCAAAATTGGCTGCCGAGAAAGTAGGAGGCTGCCCAGTAGAGCATAAGACTTTCCTGGAGAGTGTGTGAAACTGCACATATGGTACTGCCCAGCAGAGCATGTGACACTACCCAAGAGGAAGTATAAGACTGCCCTAGAAAATATGTTATACTACCTAGATATAGTATACAACAGTATGAAACTTTTCAAGAGAGAGTATAAGACTGCCAAAAAGAGAGTGTGAGATCACCAAAGTTTATGAAACTACCCAGGAGAGAGTGTGATGTCACCATAGAAAGTGTGTGAGATTACCAAGGAGAAAGCGTGAGATTTCCATAGACAACATATGAGATGGCTAAGGAGAGATTGTGAGACTGCTAGGTATGCATGAAACTACCCAGGAGAGAGTGTGAGGTATAGAGCAGGGGGAATGTATAAGACAGCCCAGGAGAGATTGTGAGACTGCCATTGAGAGAGCATGAGACTGCCCTGGAGAGAGTACAAGGTCACCATAAAGAGTGAATGAGACGACCCAGGTGAGAATGTGAGATCATCATAGAGAGCGTATAAGCCTGGCCACGAGAGTGTGTGAGTTCACCATAAAGGATGTACGAGACTACCCAGGAGAAAGTGTGCGGCCATCATATAGAGTGCATGAGAATGCCCAGAAGAGAGTGTGAGCTCACAATAGACAGTGTAGTAATAGAGAGTTGAGAGTAGAGAGTACAGTAGAGTGGAGAACAACAGTAGAGAATTGATCTGTAAAAAATAAATCAAGGCAACTGCACAATGGTAATGGGTAAAATACAAAAAAGCCTCTAGCATATAAATAACCATGTATTGTTCAGAACAGAACAGTCAAAAGCCCTGGTAAGTTTTCTACTCTCTCCTGCACACTGCACAGTCTCACACATTCTTTATAGTGACCTCAACTCTCTACTGTCTGCGGACGTTCTCATTCCTCCAGGTCATGGTATATCTGTAAAAAATAAATCAAGCCAACTGGACTTGCTGTATTTTTCTTGAAGACGTTTCACTAGTCATCCAACTAGCTTTCTCTTTTTTGGGGGGGGAAAGCTAGTCGGATGACCAGCGAAACATCTTCAAGAAAAATACAGCAAGTCCAGTTGGCTTGATTTATTTTTTTACAGATACACCATGACCTGGATGAGATAATATGATTTCAAATAAATCATATTATCTCTTTAAAGTGGAACTCTGCTAAGTAGCCTCACTTACCACATTAGATAGCTTCAGTGTGGCTACAGATAAACAAAAAGCATCTCAGTAACAAGTACAAGTTACAGTGTCCTAGTTATTATATATTAGGGTACCTTGCATATATCTGAAAGAAGTAAAATACATAGAACCTTTGTGTGGCCACTCTCCCTTCTTAGCATGTCATAGTTGACCAGGACTGACAGGATTGTTCACAAAAGGGTGAAGAGTTTGGAGAAGTCAGGAGAAGTGAACAATCTAGGACAACATAGCTGAACTGGAATGTGATCTGAACTGGAGAATCTTTCCAGTTCAGCTATGTTGTCCTAGATTGTTCACTTCTCCTGCCTTCTCCAAACTCTTCACCCTTTTGTGAACAAGCCTGTGAATCATGAATATACCAATCTTTATTATTGGTTTATTTTCTGAACCAGTAGGCACCTTCCTTCCTATTTCCTGTGCTAGTAATGAACGCAATGGTGAGGGTGTACTAAACATAGCAACACTTGAAATTGCCCCAATGTACAATTCCACTTATATTTTGTTTCTAGTTTTAGATGGAGTGCAGTTTGGGTAAAACCTCTACAAAACTTTTTTTTTTTGCTGTCTGTACCTCTAGGAGAGATCCACCATTACTATTTGACATTGTTACCATTGTCTTCTTTAAAGTGCAGTGAACAAAATACAAAAGATTCTGGGTGTCTGAGAGGAGAGACGAATTGCTAACAGATCATATTTAGACAACAGCTCTGCATTTAAATCTCGGACCAACGCTCTTCTTTTATAGCTATTGGCTTTGCCATAGGGCTGATATCAGTTTCCCCAACAGGAAACCACAGAAAATCTATGCCATTCTGAGTTGTATTAAATGTCTTCAGATTTAAATGGGTATTGTCCTGCCTGTCAATCAAGTGTAGGGGGGAAGCAGTGCACTTACAAAATGCTGCATGCATGATTTTGGTGTGATGAAGAAATCAATCCCTGTACAAATGTCTTGTGAACTGATGCAGCTCAGCATGCAATACACACATAGGTAATTTTTATGTTAAGTCAAGCACGGCAAATCAAAACGCCTGTCTGTTAGCAGCTTACAGTACTAGCTTTCCTTAGTCTTGGTCTATAAATAACAAAGTTTCCTCATTTACTTTCCTTTGGAACAAACATTTTCTATTGTCTAACAAGCAATATCTTACGTACAGCTCATTGCATTGACTGTTTTAGCAAGGTCTCCTTGGGGAGTAGATGTGAGGGTCAGCAAAGACCAATTAACTTATAATAGGTTTATTCCAAGTAGGAGGTTGCATTCTAAATTTATGCATGATGTCAATTCAACTGCCAGGTGTTTTTAAAGACCCAGTGCTGCATAATTGATGCATATTTACAGAATCTAATTCAAAATAGATTACTTACTTAGATCTGCTTCAGCAAGCAACAATGTATGCACATTCAAGCACAGTCTTCACACATACTTGTTACATGTAGCCAATAAATTACCCTTTGCTGTCACTAGGAAGAGATTTATACATGTGAAGTTCTTTTCAGCAAAAAATACACAGGTCAGTTTTTAAATGCTGCCTTACATGCATACTAGCAAGATCACAGGCAAGGATTACACAGCATAATGAGAAATGGAGATGATGAAATCTATGATATCTTTTCTTCGCTTTTGAAATTATTTATTGCATTTCTACTCGAAAATTGCTATTTAATTTTTTTCTTTATTCTAATGTCTTTATTTCATGATTTTGTAATAAAATTTTAAATTGATTTTTTAAATTCTTTTTTCTGTGTTTTTTAATCATATCCAAACAAATGTTTCACCAGATGAAGACGCTTAAATTAAAGTGTACATATAGACACAGTAAAAAATTACAAATATGATGAAGTCTGGCAATAGTATCAACACAGCAATTTTGGTTTGTTTCCTCAATGCCATGTAACATCGCAAACAGAGAAAAATTGTCACCTTCTGGACAAGGTGGAATTTCAATTAATTTTTTTATCTCAAATCCTTTAATAAATCCCCCCACTCCCCAAAGGGCAGACTACCAGGGAAAATACTTCTTCCTTAATCCAGTAATCTTTCCTCCTAGAAAGGTTCCTAGTCATCTGCTCTTCATGCTGTGCATGCACAACCCAGCCCTATTCCTTCCAATAGATAAGTTGTACTTCAAGGGACCACTGGAGCCACCATGAATACGGCTTACCCATAGGAATGAGGTGTGGTGCATATGTGCAGTATAAAGAACAGCCGGTTGAATTGTCGGAGGAAAGATTACTGGATCTGGGAGGAAGTTAAGTATTATCCCAGCTAGAGGAATTTATTAGGGTATAACTTCACTAATAGTGAAGTTGTCCTTTAGGTAAGCAAATTAAAGTGACACTAAACTCAGGAGTTAAATCTTAAAAATGCATTCAAGTACCTGAGCTATTAACAAAAATGTATCTTATTTGTGTATCACTCGGCTGTAGATCCTCATCTCTGAATTGGTGCTGACACTGTCCTTCCTTCTGGAGGTATGGGTAGTTAAGGTACTTGAATGTATTTGTAAGATTTAACTCCTGAGTTTAGTATCACTTTAAAGTCCAACCCCAGCTAACAGTTAAGCAGTTACAGCAACCTTTTTTTTAACTTTTGGAAAAATAGGTTTAACCACTTGGTGACCAGGGATTTAAACTGCCTTCCTGTCCCAGCCATTGTTCAGTATTCAT